TGGAACTAGATGATCTTTGAGGTCCCTTCCAACCCTAACCATTCTATGATTCTATGATTAACCTAGCTCTGCCAAGTCCACCACTAAACCATGTCCCTAAGCACCACATCTACATGCCTTTTAAATACCTCCAGGCATGGTGACTCAACCACTTCCATAGGCAGTCTGTTCCAAGGCTTGACAACCCTTTCCATGACAAAATTTTTTCTTAATATCCAATCTAAACCTCCCGTGGTGCAACTTGAGGCCATTTCCTCTCGTCCTATCGCTTGTTACTTGAGAGAAGAGACCAACACCCAGCTCGCTACAGCCTCCTTTCAGGTAGTTGTGGAGAGTGTAAGACCTCCCTTGAGCCTCCTTTTCTCCAGGATAAGCAACCCCAGTTCCCTCAGCCACTCCTCATAAGACTTGTGCTCTAGACCCTTTGCCAGCTTCTTTCTGGTGAAGGGTCTAGAGGGTTGATTTCTTAGGGTTGACACTAGGGCTGATACTATTTATGCCTTGATTAACAACTTGAATGATGGGATTGAATGCACTCTCAGCAAGGCTTTGAACAATATTACATTAAGGGGAGTTGTCAGCATGCTGGAGGACAGGGTTGCCATTCATTGGGCTATCCACAGACTAGAGAACTAGGTGGACAACAATTTCAACACAGGCAAATGCAAAGTCCTGAGCCTGGGATGAAACGACTCCATGCAACAGTAGAGACAGGGGTCAAAAATGGCTATAAAACAGCTATTCATAAAAGAGCTGGGAGACACAGTGGACAAGAAGCTCAACATGAGCCAGCAGTGTGCCCCTGAGGCAGAGAAAGCCAAGCACATACTGACTGCACTAGCCAGAGCGTAGCCAGCATGTCAAAGGAAGAGATTCTTCCCCTCTATTCAGCACTTGTGAGGCCACATCTGCAGCGCTGTCTCCAGTTTTGTCTTCCCAGTGTGAGGGACACATTGAACCTGGCGCAGATGGCCACCCACAAAGATCTGGCGCTGGAGCACACAGCACACAAGGACAGACTCAGAGAGATGTCTATTCAGGATGAGAGCATCTGAAATCAGCCTGAAGATGAGAGGCACCAGACTCTTCTTGGAGGTGCGCAGCAAAAGAATGAGATACTAAAAACCCAAGCTTCTGCAAGTAAAATTGTCACTAGATCTGATTAGGAAAGTTTTCACAAGGAGTGGTTCAGCCCTGGAACTTGTGCTCACAGGTTGTGAAGGACGCTTGGAGGATGGACACCGGGACAAGGCCCTGAGCTACCTCGTCTAACTTTGAGATAGGTGATTTCCAAGGTGGCTCTGCTTTGAGTGAGGCGTTAAGACCAGTTAGTATCAAGAGATTGCCTTCAACCTAAGTTATTAAATGATTCTGCATATGCAACTTTCTACTTTGCTTGCTCTGTGTAAAAAATAACAAAGTGCAGAAAGAGAGACATCTGATGACCAAGGTAGTCCTTGCTCTTCTAAAACGCTGCAGAAGAGCTAAAAATTCAACAAAAAGCATACACTTTTTGTATGGCTGATCTGTGACAGAACTACTGTCCAGACAAGGTGACACTGAAACAGCATCAATACAATCAGCCCAAATATTAAAATTTTTAAATAGCTTAATCTATAGAGCTACAGAATGAAAGCCAAATACATAGGACTAACAGAAATTACAGGATAATTTGTAACAAAAAAATAGGTGATCACCAACAAAACTGTTGCATGTCATATTTGGTGATAAACACACATAGGTCTTTTCCTATTGCAGCTTGTGAAAGTGTCTGTATAAACACTCATGGTGAATGCAATTATGCTACTAGGTGCAGCTAAAACAGAGAAATTAGCCCAAGTCAAAGAACCAAAAATAGCTAACAGGTGGCAAAGTAAATGAGGAATGCAGCTTTTAACAGAAACTGTATGACTACTTCCCCCCTCATGCCTGTCTTGCTCAATATCTCAAATCTGTGAGCCAATTAAAAAGGCAAAAATTCAGCCATTCAAGATGTATTTTTTAGGGAAACCAGTTTATCGGCATAACTATAAAGAAAGGAACAATTTTGTTTCTTTCACAAAAGGCTTGAAAAACTACCATGATGATCTCATACCTGTTAGTAAATTTCACACCATTCTTCTGTGTATCAACTATTCCATATTTTGAATTGTTACGGAGAACTTTTTCTTCCTTGCAAGTTATTCGAAAGTGATGTCCAAACTGGGAATTTGTCTCCAGTTTGATACTTTTGCCAGCTTCCAAACCTTTTAGGTGAAAAGAAAGAAAAAAGAAAACCATTGTATTATCAAAAATCCCGCAGCTTGTGCTATTTCTTACTAATTTGTAACGATGTAGACTCTCTTAGACACGTTATTCAGCATACTTGCTTTGGTTCTGTACAGGTATGAGAAATACTCAGACCTAACAAAAGTTTACTGATTCATTCTCTGCTCTTACTTTGACATGCTCTCAAACTGCATACTCAAAACAGGTTCATGATTATTGTATTGCTACATATTCTCCAAAATGTGAAAAATGTTCACAGCACACTGTGAGGACATTCTACATCACTACTGCAAGTACAGCATCTGTAGTCTTGTGATCCTTTTACTAACATATACTTCTGCTGGTGAGATTTCTCATTCCATCCCTACAAAATCTTTTATTTCTTTTTCATCCAGGTATTGTGTTTAAGCTAAAAAATCAAGACTTAAAAACATGCAAGCTCTTAAAGGTCTAATCTAAAATAACTATGGTGTTGCCAATTTTCCTTGCCATATTTACATCAAAAATTGATTTTTATTGTTTTTAAGTTGCTCTTTGAATGCCTGATTCATCAGCTGCACATAGAATTTTTTGCATAGGATAATCAATTCTTTAAATGTCTCATTTGCTTACGTATTACATTTTGCAAAGAACTTCAGAAGAAAACTAGCATGTCCTGAATGCACTGGGGAAAAAAAAAAAACAACTTTCAATACATGCCCCCAAAGGATGTAGAATAGAACTAGGCTTAGCCAAGAGTTAGATGAGCTACGGTTCTACAAATAAATTCTGCAGTATCTTGCAACATACATGATGATTTCTGAAATATGCTGGAACACCATCCTTAAAGAAAAAACAAAAAAAAACCCCGCCAAGTTATAAACAAAAAAAATCACTCAGTTTTCAACAGATTGTAGTGTGCCAACTAAAGTGAACCAAAACTAATATCAGAATAATACAAACATCCCTTAACTCTTCTATATCAGTTTTCATCACTGGATCTGAAAATATTTTACAAATGAGGTATGAATCACAGGTAGTTTCATACCCTACCTAGTTCTTTGGCTGCACTCCTTAAAAAGGACTGCATTTTTTCTTCCAGTTCATTCATCTTCTCTCTTAATTCTGTCAAATTAGGATCAAAAGAAGCCTTAACAAGAAATTCGTGATTCTCCACCTAGAGAAAAATAGTAAGAAAAAATTCATATGAACATAGGCAATTAAAAAAAAAAACACCTCCCTGATCATACAGTGAAAATTAATTTATTTAATCATTTATCCAATTTAATTTTGATATATATACTTTTGTAATGCAATGCTGTTTGCGATAATTGGTGTCTGATTAAACTACAAAACAAATACCTCTCAAACACTTGTTTTCTCAAATAATATACTTTATACAAGCAAAATATACCAATTTAACAGACTCCTCTACTTTGAAAAGGAGTTGTCTGCATATTTATTTGCATATAAATAACTGAGCAGTAAGCAGGAAAAAAAGAGAAGTCAGAGGAAATGAAATTGTTATGTACATAATCGGTTCGCTAGCCTGGATTTATGCAGCTAATCAAGACAGTGTAAAAGCATGGGGCGCTTCAAAACAAGAAGTCCTTAGAAACACAAATTTCTGAAACAGTAAATCCTGCCCAAAACACGCTCAAGAGGTTACGGAAGGAGCCTACATAGTATCACCAAAAATCCTATCCAATTTCAACCCAGGTATTTTGAGTTGAAAAGCATACACATCTCCTTCCATGCTACGTTTTCAGAGGCATGGATGAAATAAGTTGTATTTGATCATCTTCTCTCTCTTCCCCACTTCGACTGCCAGGCATGTGTTTCTGATGACCCTACAAGCCTCGAGTTTAATTTGCAAGCACAATTTGTAACTGCTAAATAAAAGAAACATGATTTATAATGTACAAACTTTTACAATCAACTAAACATTAGCACTGTTTTCCGACATGGAAACTAAGCACTAGATTTCATATTAGTAATATATTTCATCTAATTAAGTTCAAAAAAACCCAAACCAAATCAACTCTTTCATGAAGCTTCCTCTAGCTGGAAATTATCTGCAAAGTTGTACGCAAAGCAGCTGCAAATACTGTGCAAAACACACCGAAACAAGATGGTGGTTTACATTCAATTTGATGTTTACCCACAAACTATTTTAGCAAGAGAAGGAAGGAGAAGAGGAAAGGGAGGTCCACAGTTCCTTTACTCCTTCTCAGACAATAAAAGTATCACTCTAGAAAGCACTGAGCAACAGCAACCATAACCGCAAGAACCACCACATACATCTTTTTCTACTAAGCACAAGAAGCACTTGAAATATGCAGTGCATCAAAACAATTTTAAAAACATTAGACTGAAGACTGCCAGGTTTTGCAGCAACTGGGAACAAAGATCTGGGAACGCAATCTGGAGATGAAAGCCACAGGGCTTATACATTTTTAATTTGCAATGGGGGGACAAGTACATTATCATATGAAGAAACTGCACATCACACTCTGTATTCAAACGATTGCGACTTCATTCTGAGAATGATCTTCTCCCAGCAGATAATTTAATCTTCCATAGAAGTTCCATCAAAGAAAACTGAACCGTTGGTCCTTATTTTCTCCATGCGATTACCAGCACTGTAAGGCATTACACTCAGCCTGATGTTTTGGTTCCAGTTGTGTTGTGTGCAAAGACACTGCAGTGGCAAAGTTCTCCAGTTGCTTAACCAGAGATGTGGACTCCATAAAATAATGTATTATGAGATTTTAGAAGACCATCTTGAAACTTGGAGGCATTAGGAAAGGGGTATGAACAAATTCATTCCCTGTTACGTCCCTGTTGACAGCCCTGCTCCCCTTAATTCTGCAAAAAGAACAGCATTGAACGTTTATGGCAGAGCATACAGCAGAGAAACCCATTCCTGGTTTTGTAGGGCAGATCCTGGATCTGAAACAGAAACTGGAAAGGCTGGGATGCAAACGCCACGTACGTCAGCCCTTGTCACGACTGGCTTCACGAGACAATCAAGGTTCACAATCAAGTGCAAAGTAATTTTGTTTCACGGCTTTGAAGAATTATTTGAAGCCTGGAACAAACTGCAGAAATCCCACAAACTCAGGAGAAGGAAGATAACATTCCCGAGGACCGATAACGTTCCAGCAGCCCCAGCAGGCACCCAGTCTGGCTCTCGGTTCCAACCTTCACCCAGGCTGCCACATCAGAGACGCTGACCAGAACCAAAGCCGTGTCCTGCACTTCCACCCTTCAGGGCCTCCTCGCTGCAGACAAGCTTTCATCTCACTGCAAGCAAAGACCCATACATGGCTAGAGCTTACAATGTGTAAAAAAAAAACGTTAGTGCCTCACTCACTGCTCAGTCCAGCAGTCACGGGGATGGAGTTAGTTTTTATGCGCTTGTTGCTAACTCCATTACAGCTCCAACAGATCTGTGATGACAAATGAACTCAGAGGCTGCTAGTGTGCAAGAAATAAATCTTAAACTGCTATGAAGTTTCAGGACAGGAGCATTAAAGTAAAATTACTTCAGCTTCCATTTACATTAGTCTGGGTTAGGAACTGTAGCAGCTAAGAACTGGTTCACAGCAGACCAGGCACTCCAGTCCCAGGGTAAGTGCCCAGTGGCTTTTCCAGTTGGAGATACCAAGTCTTTAGGACATCTAGCAGACTGTATCCCGTTAGCTCAGCCTGAAAATCTGAATCTAAAAGTGTGTAAGATCCAGTTTTAAAGACAGCTTCTAATATATTGCAGTACCCACCCCAAATAGTACAGGGCAGCTCTTTCCTCATTCAGGCTTCATGAAGTAACCCTCAGCAGGTGACAAGCAGAAATTCTCCATCTGACCACACTCTCCAAGTGAGATTCAAGTGTGATCAAGTGAATAGAAAACATTTTAAAGTAAAATCAAAAGTTCAGCTAAACCGCTAAGGAAGTAAAACGATTATGGTTTACTAAAAATGTTAAAAACCAGTGTTACTGATTAATATACAAAAACATCAGGCACTCACAAACTATATTACCCTCTAACTTTCTTCTCAAGCCGTGCTCTTCCTACAGCAGTATCTCAGCTATAATTAGGTAAGTCACTTAATGCAAACTTTTGCTTTTCTCTTTCGCAGCCCTCAGTGTGAACGTGGCCAACAATCTGGCAGAACAAGTGTTAACAGGAACGCTGAACACCACATACTTGAGTTCTTGGTGCTTTGTACTTAATGAAGCCGACATCAGTTATGGCCCAAGAAAGGCTACACCTCACCAGAAAAACTGAGACAATACCAGTGAACCCAACTCACTGCCTTCTGATCTCCCCAAAAGAAGAATGAAAATACTCGTCATCATTGTGGCATTTCATTGATATATTGGTTGCTGAAATGCACTGAACTCTAAATTACAGCTCAGTACTGCATTAAATACAAATGTTTAATTTGCCTCAGAGTTTAAGGAACGCAGACACGTGCAACAGACTGGTCTGAACACTCTTGCTACCACCTTCGCTCCAAATGTAACGTTTTACTGGCAAGAGTCATGCAAAGGGTTTTAATGAAAGCAAATCCCTTAATGCAATATGGATAAGAAGTAGCTAGACATTCCCTTTTGTTCTACTGAACACGCTGCATTTTTTTCGTGTAAATTGTTGCTCAGGAGCTACTCTGAAATGAATGTTCAAAGTATAAAATACTTAATGCACTAAGTAGCAGACTAACATCCCAGCACTGACAACACTTTGATACCCGAGTATGTTTACTTACATGAAATAAGACCCAAGTGAGTCACATTTCCAAGGGGTGCTCAAATGAATGAGGTGACAGCAAATCATTTGCAGACTCTGGGACTGCGTTGAGCTAGCTAGCTAATCTGAAAAACAAGTCCTTCTGTAAAGGGCTGTGCTCTTTAATACTCAAATCAAAATACTATATACTGAAAGTACTAACAAACTTTGAAGTCACCCTGACTTGAGGAGGAGGTTGGAGTAGACAGTTTTTCGAAGGCCCCTCATGATTCTGTGAAAGACAGGAATGGAAGCGACAGTTTCTCAACTTTTATTACAGCTAGGTAAATGAATAACCACATCCCACACTTTTTGAACTCAGATGTTTCTTCTTATATTAGAATGGATTATTGACATAATTTAGTTGCTATGACAACCTGTCCTTCAATCACACTCAAAACAGAGCTGCGTGTCTTGTTTGAACTCCCTAAAGATCTAAAAGGAATTTCAAGTCAAAGTTCAAGTTTTAACATTCATACGGAGAAGGTTTATTCTTCCAGTAAAACCAGTATCGATTTATCTATAGCCATTTTCCAGTACCTTGAAGGGAAAAAAAAAACAAATCCAACACACTGGATTCTATGAGACTTGATTAAAAATAACTGACTTGCTATTCTGTTTAGAAGGAAAACAAAACATTTTTGAAGTAGAAGCTGAAAAGAAATTTGAAGAGCTGGACTATGAAGGGTGAAGGCTTAGAACAGCTGTTAAAGAAAACAGTCCAAGGGACGGCATCAACAGATGGTCTGTAACTAGTATAAAGCTATAAATTTCTTCCATCAGCATATATCGCAAATTACAGCAACATGTCAATCAAACAGTCTTTACTTAAAACAGTAAACCACAATTGATGAATGCGTACACAACACAAAGGGATGAAAAGCGGTGCTTCTGCCTTTGGAGAAAAATATCCATGTTCAAAATTTTAAAACCACAGCAGTTTTGATTCAAAAGTCCAACACCTTGCCCTTACTACCATGCCTGGCACATAGTTAGGAACATTTCATATTTCTACAGTCAGCTGAGATTGACACTTACGACAATCCTACAAGCCTCCCAATTTTTCCAAAATGACTGAAACATCTTATTGAGAAAGGAGCTGAGTTCTGTCCAGGGGCGGATCCGGAGCAAGTTGAGAGCTTGTGGGTGCGAATTAACGGACAATCTGGAATGTGCAATACCATTATTGGTGTCTATTACAGACCACCGGATCAGGATGAGGAGGTTGATGAGGCCTTCTACAGGCAGCTGACAGCAGTCTTGCAAATGCAGGCCCTGGTTGTCATGGGGGACTTCAACTACCCTGACATCTGCTGGAAGGCCTACTCAGCCAGCCATCCACAGTCCAGGAGGTTCCTTCAGTGCATTGATGGTAACTTCCTGATGCAAATGGTGGATGAGCCTACTAGGAGAGGAGTGCTGCTGGATCTTATTCTCACTAATAAGGAGGGTCTGGTTGAAGCGCTGAAGGTCGAGGGTAGGCTTGGTTGTAGTGACCATGAAACGGTGGAGTTCAGGATCTCATGTGGCAGGAAGAGAATACTTAGCAGAACTAGGACCCTGGACTTCGGTAGGGCCAACTTTGATCTTTTCAAACAATTGCTAGGAGAAATCCCATGGGACGGAGTAGTAGAAGGTAAAGGGGCCCAAGATAGTTGGTTAGCCTTCAAGGACCTCTTCTTCCAAGCTCAAGACCGGTGCATCCCAACAGGTAGGAAGTCAAGAAAGGGCACCAAGAGACCTGCATGGTTAAATGGGGAACTGTTGGGCAAACTCAAGTGGAAAAAGAGAGTGTACAGGTCATGGAAGGAGGGGCAGGCCACCTGGGAGGAATATAGGCCTGCTGTCAGAGGATGTAGGGAGGCAACTAGGAAAGCTAAGACCTCCTCGGAATTAAACCTTGCAAGAAAGGTCAAGGACAACAGAAAGGGCTTCTCCAAATACACTGCAGATCAAACTAACACTAGAGGCAATGTAGGCCCACTGGTGAATGAGGACGGTGCTCTGGTGACAGAAGATAAGAAGGCAGAGTCACTGAATGCCTTCTTTGCCTCAGTCTATACTGCTGGAGGCTATCCTGATGAACCCCAGAACCCTGAGGCTCCTGAGGAAGTCAGGATAGAGGAGTCATCTACCCTGGTTGATAAGGACTTGGTTAGGGACCAGTTAAGCAACCTGGCCATCCATAAATCCATGGGTCCTGATGGGATGCACCCGTGGGCGCTGACGGAGCTGGCGGATGTCACTGCCAGGCCACTCGCCATCATCTTTGTTAAATCGTGGGGAACAGGAGAGGTGCCTGAGGACTGGAGGAAAGCAAATGTCACTCCGGTCTTCAGAAAGGGCAAGAAGGACGACCCAGGTAACTATAGACCGGTCAGCCTCACCTCCATCCCTGGAAAAATAATGGAACAACTTATCCTTGGTGCTGTCTCTAGGCATATCAAGGATAAGAGGGTCATTAGGGGCAATCAACATGGCTTCACTAAGGGGAAGTTGTGCTTGACAAACCTGATAGCCTTTGATGAGGACATCACCCAGTGGGTGGATGATGGTAGAGCAGTGGATGTGGTCTATCTTGACTTCAGTAAAGCATTTGACACAGTCTCCCACGGCATCCTCACAGCTAAACTGAGGAAGTGAGGTCTGGATGATCGGATAGTGAGGTGGACTGTGAACTGGCTGAAGGATAGAAGCCAGAGAGTAGTGGTCAATGGGACAGAGTCCAGTTCCAGTGGAGTCCCTCAAGGGTCGGTCCTGGGACCTGTATTGTTCAACATATTCATCAATGACTTGGATGAGGGAATAGAGTGCATGGTCAGCAAGTTTGCTGATGACACTAAACTGGGAGGAGTGGCTGACACACCTGAAGGCTGTACTGCCATTCAGAGAGACCTGGACAGGCTGGAGTTGAGAGGGGAGAAATTTAATCAAATACAACAAGGGCAGTGTAGAGTCTTGCATCTGGGTAAGAACAACCCCATGTACCAGTACAAGTTGGGGACTGAACTGTTGGGGAACAGCACAGGAGAAAAGGACCTGGGGGTCCTGGTGGACAGCAGGATGACCATGAGCCAGCAATGTGCCCTTGTGGCCAAGAAGGCCAATGGCATCCTTGAGTGTATTAGAAGGGGTGTGGTTACTAGGTTGAGAGGGGTTCTCCTCCTCCTCTACTCTGCCCTGGTGAGGCCGCATCTGGAATATTGTGTCTGGTTCTGGGCCCCTCAGTTTAAGAAGGACAAGGAACTGCTTGAGAGAGTCCAGCACAGGGCCACAAAGATAATTAAGGGAGGGGAGCATCTCCCTTATGAGGAAAGGCTGAAGGAGCTGTGTCTCTTTAGCTTGAAGAAGAGGAGAATGAGGGGGAACCTCATTAATGTTTATAAATATGTAAAGGGTGACTGCCATGAGGATGGAGCCAGGCTCTTCTCAGTGGCACCCAATGATAGGACAAGGGGAAATGGATATAAGCTGGAACATAGGAGGTTCCACTTAAACATGAGGAAGAACTTCTTCCCAGTAAGGGTAACAGAACAGTGGAACAGGCTGCCCAGAGAGGTTGTGGAGTCTCCTTCTCTAGAGATGTTCAAAACCCACCTGGACGTGTTCTTGTGTGATCTGATCTAGGTGGTCCTGCTCCGGCAGGGGGATTGGACTAGATGATCCTTTGAGGCCCCTTCCAATCCCTAACATTCTGTGATTCTGTGAACATTAAATACATTTCTAATCAAACACGGACATTTCAAAATGTGTCTCACCAATTCCCTAACAAATATAACAGGGAAAAATATGTACAAAACTCACTAAAAACCCTGGCGTTGTTTCACACCCAGTTAAGCAACGTTCATGTTTGTGCCTGTGTCCTAAGTGTTCAACGTCAAACAACGATAGATCAGTCATTTATACATATCCATTCTTCTTTACGCTACAGATTTAAGGAACAGGAATGTTCCTTCCAGCTTTCTTCGGTCAATTTTTCCTCTGAAAAAAAGGCCAGTTTTCCCTTGCAAGCATCGTCCTATTATCAGTAATATTTTATAAGCAAGTCTACGTGCAAGGCTAAGATAATTAAAGCAGCTTTCTCTCTAGTGGGAAACGTCTTTACATTGGAAAGTAAAGTCAATCTTTATACCTGAGTCAATCATTTTTCAGAAAGGAAAACTGTTAGTTATGAAAACCAAACGGAATCAAGTCTAATAAATTTTACAGAAGCAGAGAAATAGGTAATACACATATTCTGGCTACATTCTAGATTTGAGACGTAACAAAAAAGTGACAAAATAACTTCCTCAATTTTAATACAGATGAAGTTTTTAGAAAATAGTTTCAGGTCCACAGCATCCATGTATCCAAAGCATTTTTCATTGGATATATAATTTCAGACAGGAGTGAACACCTTCTTGATATTCAACTGCTATACTACTAACAGCCTTCATATATATATTCCACAGCTACACTAACTACTTAATACAGATGATTAAATTTAGTGAGTGTAGAGCAGATCGTAAAGTTCAATAAGAAAGTTTAATTGCTAAGTAAACCCCCTCCCACACACCAGCCCATACCTTATCCATGTCCAATGTTGTTTCTATCATCTCCAAAAACTTTGAGAAGTCAGAATAGATATCATTAAGAGGTGTTATAAACACTGCCAACAACAACATCTGGTGAGCTCCTGTTAAGAACAAACAAGAAAAATTATCATTCACAAAACCCATAACTTTACCAAATTCACTTATGCAAGATAAACAGCACAACTATATAACTGGTTAATTTTTATTAAGATTGGTTATGATTATTTCAGACACATGCATATCTTTTTCTAAAATAGCATTATCCAATTTATATTTGGATTAAGCTTATACCTATTCTGTCACCTTTGCTCATATCTGGTGGTATTAATTCCCTTCTACTATGAGTAAAACTACAGACAAACAACAGTTTGAAAGCAAACCTGCTGTCTGAACATTACCTATTCTTGCACATAAAAAGCTGAAATGGCTTTAGTAAAAAGTGTATTCTACAGCAACCAATTTTAAAGATAGAAAGCAGAAGTCTCATCATCCACACTCAGAGTTTCTAATTTTTCTTAATTCAAAATTACCAAAAATTGGGAATATTTGGTAGGTTACAATATGGACATAAATAAAAGTTGAGGTGTATATTTTTTGGTTTTGTCTTCCTTAAAAAAAGATCATCTTCTTTAACCAGATCTTTATAGTCACTGATCTTTCCACTAGACAGGAAGTCACCAAAATTAAATTAGTCTTTTCCAACGTATTTTGTTAGCACAGATAATCTGCAGCACCAAGTATAACTGCACAGCACGCATACTGGTTGGATGTCCAGAGAACACTGTAAGCATTGAATGCCAAATGCCGTTCACAGTTAACTCAGCATGCACAGATAGTGCCAATTTTGAGGAAGAAGTATTTTGTTCAGGCCTACGAATAAGCACCTCTCCAGCAGCCAGCTGTGAAAACATCCTGTCAGCAAACAAATGTTTACATCTTTGCAGCCACTTCAAGTTATGATTTAATCGCAGAAAGTTCAGCTTTATTGACTATACGATTTACACAAAAAGAATCCAACAGGATGAGTTTATAGTCATTGGATTATGTACAGAAATACAACATTTGCCTCTGATGTTTACAGGCAAGGCTTTGCACATTAACAAAGAAATACAGAATCAAGTTCTGGCTGTTCCAGCGCCTCCCAATTTCTTACCAGACAAGGGAAAAAGTCCTAATCTTTCCTAAGAAAAATTTCCGTACAAATTTATAAGTCACACAGTGGGGACATGATTACCCAAGGGAATCTCTCTTCTCTCTCAGCACTGAAACTCAAGTAGAAAGAAAAAGATTGGTTTGTTTCCTTTTCCTCCTGCGCCTTTCTGCTTCTCCACTCCCTCAAGCTTTTCAAGTTAAAGCTCTTAACTGATTAGTATCTATTAATAGAGAAAAAAATTATGTTGTTGAGAGATTATTGAACTTGTAAAAATGGAGTCTTCTGCTGACTGAAAATCTTCAAAACTTAGATCTGAAATAAAATACAGCTTTCATTTTATTCCAAATCTCTTGCTCTCTGCCACATCTTTTTTTTTTTCCCCTCCTGTAAGACACAGCTAAACTAGCCTAGAAAACAAAAGGAGGCAGCAAAGAAGGAAGAGAGTGACGAGCAAGAAAAGAAGCTTCATGTCCATTCTTCGGCACGGACTTAGCAGTTCCCAGTGCACCAGCTGACAGAGTGCATGGCACACACAATGACATGACCTTTGGTACTCTCGAATTAATGAAAAATGATTGCGCTTGAACTTCAAGTAGCAATTACAATTTCTTTTCTTGAAAGGAGTAAGTAGGAAAGTTTCATGATACCATTTAATTATTTAAGTTTGAAGAGTACATCTTCAGACACTGTAGGAAGATGTCACATCCAAAAAGTAGAAAAATATTAATTTATTCAATGAATAAAATACTAATTTATTTACATATATTTATTATATGCTTCAAACTGATACATTGCCAAATTGATTTACTTTCAATCCAACTTCATATTCAGTATCCAACACTTGAAGGAAATAAAACAGTGGAGTCAGTGAACAATGGGGATTTATAAAAGTTGCATGCATATGCTCTTCTTAAAAGCATCACACTTGGCATTAAGAGAAGCTGAGCAAGAAACACCATTGAAAAATTCTCAATTAAACTCCAAGTTGTCTTGTACCTGCATTCACAAACTCATATAAAAGATGGTAAAAAACTCCACTTTTACACCTACTCAACATTACTAGCATGTAGGCTTGAGAGAAAGAATAATAGACTTATGCACCATCAAAAGCAGATATGCATATTGATCACAAAGCCTATCCGCTCTGAGATACAGTTTTTAATTTAAACCACAACTTACTTACTGAAGTGCAGATAACTGTTTATTACATGCAGTAAAGACTTTATTATTAATATGGTTTAAAACATTGTATAGAAATTAAGATCAAGCACTAATTTTCAAACTTGAATTATTTATATAGCTGGTTTGACAGCAAACAGAAATACGAAAACTGACACTATTCTATCAAGGGAAAACAGTCGAATCTCAATGACTAAATGCACTTAAACCAGCCATTTTGATGGTACAAAAGGTCTTAGGAAAAAGGATAAGGAGAGAACAAGGAGCAAAACAGAAACCGGGATAAAACATCGTATGGATCTCCTAAAGGCGGATCATACCTGTATAGTCCAAAGTCTATCTGAGAGAACTGCCTAAGACCAAGGGAAATCTGTAGACCTAATCTGAGCTCTTAAAGAGCTTTAAAAGCATTCAGTGCAGTGTCACATGGGATGCCAGGATGCAAGGTTCACAATTAATACAGTGATCAGAAGGCAGATAAAGAGGACATCATAGACTCGCAACAGATGAATGAGCTGGAAGGACTTGTGCAATACAGTTCCTCCAGGGCTCATACATACAAGCATTTATCTTTTTAAGATGTGTGAATTAATGATATTAAGGCACAAAAGAAGGAAGAAGGCTGCTTATAAAATTCACTAATATATACAACGTGGAAGATATCAGTAGAGGAAATTAAAACAAAATAAATCAGGAACATAACTAACTGACCTTGAAAACTAGGGTAATAGCAATCAAGTAAAATTCTACAGTGAGTAAGATGAAGTATTGATAGATAAATGGATTTCCACTATGAGTAGGAGAACAATCAGCTAGAAATAACAAAGGATGAGAAACAGCCAAGTTCAATCACAACATGGTTATAACACACCAGTGCAACAGTCATGGAAAGAACAGCACTGGAACATGCAATAAGAGGTACTTCCAAAAGCAGGAAGGGAGTATTCAAGCCGCTGTATAAAATACGGTAAAAATACAGCTGGAACCCAGCATACAATTCCTGTATCCTGCATATTTACAGGCTTAAAATAAAGAGTATCAGCCTGAGATGAGAAGGAAGATGCTTCAGCAGCTTCTTGAAGACAGACATCTTATAAGTACCTAGATTTTATGCCTCAGCAATTTGAGTAACGAACAACTGCTCTCTTTTGCCAGCAATGGCAAAATTATTTGAAGACTCAGAGTCCTTTCTCGTCTTATGTGGGTTTCTTATAGCTAAAAAATTAAAAAATCATCTTCACTTATTACCCCCCTCCTCAGCTTTCATCATCCATAAAAACAAGCACCTCAACAAAGCAATGCTTCATACTGAGTCAATCACTGCTGATCACTTCATGATGTAGTTGCTCTATCTCTCTATAGCCATTCACAAGAAAATAAAGCTCTGAAAGTGGCAGATACTCAGAACTGTCAAAAATCTTTCTAACTTTCCATCTCTTAATGAGTTAAAAGATTTTGTACAGTCTTACACAGGAAAACAATCACATCCAGTCTGAACCAGTCACATACATTCAAAATTACCAGATCATTCTTGTACTTAAAACAAGAGCGCAGAAGTACAAAGAAAAATAAAAATAACACGTTTCACCTATTTTAAGTTACCTTAGATATACTGCTGATAAATGCCCTACTAAGGTTGGCTGATTCACGTGTAAAACAGCAAGAACCTTTTGCAGTCTATTAATTTTTCCATATGGTGAGCTTAGCAGTTTGCCTTACACAGCTTGCTCCTCAAAACTTCCAAAAATTGAATTGTTTTCCTACACCAACATTACGACAGAAAAACTCTATTGATCCAAATGACAGCTAATAGGAAAAGAAGTTAAGACGGGAAGCAAGCATTTTGAACTAATATGTTAGTTTAAGATGCAAATCCAAGAGATCCATGCCAGGGCAAAACCAAGCAGAGGCTGTTTGGAAATGCCAAAGCAGATAATGCATGGCATAGCTCTTTAAAAAAAAAAAAGTTTTATCTGCCAATGTCTTCCCAGTTTTAGATGTTAACTGCTTCTGGAAATAACACAGCCAGCAATCAAAAATTAATTTATTTTAAGATTTAATATTTTAGAAGATAAGTTTCATTACTTGAAGTCATAAAATTATAGTACAGAAAACTATAAGATACTGGGTAATATTACTGTCTACTCAAACACATAAAAGAAACTTTTGTAACTATACCATTTCAAAAATTATTTCTCTTTAAGGCTTTGGTGCTTGCTTTATGCAAAGAGATTTTCAAACAAATTAATGGGCTTCTACAAAAATATGCTTTCTGACAGGCAAGGAATGCTATTGCTATATTGAAGCACTCCCGTTATGCTGACACTAATCTTATTCTACATTTTCTCTGTAACACACAGAAAAGAAAGAAATCGCAACCTTTGTATTTTCTAGACTTGCTTGTCATAGCATTGAGCTTCCTACAAATGAAGATCAGAAGAAACCCTGTCATGTTACTCTTATCAAATACAGGAACATTACTTTTTTTTTTTAAAAAAAGCACTATTCAAATTATACAAATAATGCTTAAACTGTTTTTTTTGCATTTAATTACAAGCCAAAGGGCAAAGTGTCTTCAAAAGGAACACAACAATACTGTCTGAAGAGTTATCTTGTTTTTAAGATCGTAACACACACACACAGAGTTGGTCACAAATTCTTAGAGACAAGTCAATGTCAAAGATTACCAGACCATCACTCAACAGTTCAAGTATTTCAGCTATGTACTAACTGGAACATTTTTTCATTTAAAGATTTGACTACGTTTATTTTTAAGTATCTGATCGGTATTTCAGAATTTCAGCTCATTTCAAATTCAGATGTCTTTAAAGTTTATTTCTGTAACAAAATTACACAGGAAAAGAAGTAATCTTTGATAGCCTACAGACTATTTCTTTGCCTCATCAACATAGTATAAAACATTGAAATTAGACAGGAGTAGCATTACCTTCATGTTTTTCTAGTGCTTGTACAACATTAGGCAGTTGATTAATAGCCTGATACATTCGGTAACAGTCCTGTAAGTTTGCTGCTTGCCTCTGAAATTTCTTTGCCAGTCGGTTAAGATCTGGAAAGCGACGTAAGAGATCTTCTTGAAGGCACTGACGTAGTTCTGGATCCACCACAAAAGCTTCAACCAAATTCAACCTAAATAAGAAGTTCATAACAATGTTTAGCATATTATGGTCTATAACTCTTATGTCACTAATTAGAATGAAAACATTTATCTGGCAGTTTCTATCCAGCCTTTCTCTATGGCTGTATCCATTGGCCAGCTTTCCTGCTAGAAGAACAAACTAAACTTGGACAACACATGAGCTGAGGCAGCAAGGATATTTAGCCTATGCCACACTTCTGTAGTTTTTTAACAGTCTAGGTATCTAATGAACAGCATTAGAATGAAACTGTTTCAAGTGCAAATGCCAACGGTTCTGCCCATGTTCTGTAGGTACGTTGAAGCTCAGAATCTACTTTAAGATTAATCCTTTCCCTGCACCACAAAAACAGTCATCCAGCAGTCTATGAAAGAACAGATATCAAATAAGAAAAACCCACAGTTGCAAAAAAAAAAAAAAAAAACAACAAAAAAACAACAAACACCTCTTGGCAGAGTTTAGCTGCCTGTGGTCAAAGCCAACATTGACACTGTGCAGCTGTGCAACCCTGGATCACAGATTCAGAATGTTTGAGTTGCAAGGCACATCTAGACATTGACTACTCCAATCCCTTTGCTCCAAGTAGAGTCAGCTACAGGCAGCTGCCCAGGACTCTATCCAGTCACATTTTGGGTATCTCCAAGGATGGCCCCAGTATCAACCCCTGGGATACACCACTAGTGACTAGCCTCCAGCTGGACTTCATGCCCCAGATCACGATCCTTTGAGCCTAGCAGTCCAGCTAGTTTTCAGTCCACCACATTGTCTTCTTATCTAGTCCATACTTCATCAGATGTAATGGGAGATAGTGGCAAAAGCCTGCTGAAGTCAAGATAAACAATATTCACTGCTCTACGCATATCCAACAACCTACTCGATTTATTACAGAAGGCTATCAGGCTGGTCAGGCATGATTTTCCCTTCGTAAATCCGTGTCAACTACTTCCAATCACCATCCTGTCCTCGGTACATTTAGCAATGCTTTACAGAATTATTTGCTCAATCACCTTCCCAAGCATGAAGATGACGCTGACCAACCTGTAATTCCCTGAATAGTCTTTTTGCCCTTCTTGAAGACTGGAAGAAAGCAAATGTCACTCCTATCTTCAGAAGTCTCCTCCAACCATCATGACCTTTCTGAGACAACCAAGATTGGTGCCACAATGACTTTGCCCAGCTACCTCGATACTTGTGGGTGCATTCCTTGGGTCCCACGGACCTGCGTGTGTCCAATTTGTTTAAATGTTTGCTAACCTGATCCTATTCTAATGAGATTGTGATTTCTTTGCTCCAGATTTTGCCACTGGTTTCAGGTGCTTGGGATTCCTGAAGGCAAATCTTACCAGTGAAGACCACTGTGAAGAGCTGTGTAAGAAAGAGGTGTAAGAAGCCTTGTCTGGGGGCCTCATCTTCACTCAAGAGCTGCATTCTAACTAAGGCACTTGTCCTTGGCTCTCACCTGAGCTATGCTGCAGCCATGCCTGTGCCTGCCCATGTACCCCACTGACACAGACCATGACCATTGACTTAACTTCCTTGCTTCACCTCAGATCATCACTATAGACTTGCCTGGAGACACAGACTGTTGGCCAAACCTGGTTACTGTCACCAGGTATATGCTGTTTGCCTCATGCAGGTACTGGAAGACTGCATCCTTATCAATGAGGGTACTGTCTCTACCTGCCTTGTTGTCACCATTGACTCACAGTTTGCCTTCCCTTCAGCCTGCCCCTGCTGCTGCTCCATGACATTCTGGCGCGGTGTTTGTTTGTTTGTTTTCACTATTTTTAAATAGTGAAATAAATATTCTTTAAGCGCTGAAAGTAAGCATAAATCTCAGTGAGAAGTGTCAGAGCGTTAACTTGCGTTTTCCCCACTAGAAGTTTCATACATTTCTTGCTGTCTTTTCTGCATCAGTTAACACTGTCATCTTTACCCATTTTGCATTTGCAGTCAAACATATAAAGTCAGATATTGTTCATTTTGGAATGCCAGAGAGTTTATTGTTCTTTGGTCACACTTGAGGAATATGAAGGAAGAACTCTTCCCCCTTCAGAGACCTCCACACATGATATATTGTGTTGATTTCTGGTTAATCACATTAACATGCTATCTATCAATATCTTGGCATCAGCAGGGAAGTTAATTTCATTTAGAGACATACAAGCAGAGAAAGAAGAGTATTTCTGTCCTTTCACCACAGTATTTCTACTGTTTTGCTTACTGGCAGACAAATTTCATCAGTTTCAATAAGAAGAACATTTGCATTTGCAAACTGCATTGGAAATGACAATTTTTTTTTGTCATTTTGAAAGCAGTAATCTCTACATTACACCACGCAGTGTTCTGTAGAGACAGCTAGACACCTGAAACAGTACACAGAGGTTAACATGGTACACTGCCTCCACTAATTAGTAAAGACAGTCACTCAAGAAACAAAGGCTTTGTCTAAGGGTAACACAAGAGACTCTGGACAGGGAGAAGCACATTTCCGTACATTAAAAAAAAATCAAAAAGAATGTCCTTCTGTTGCAGAAAGTGTTCTACTCATACCACTCCAGTGAACCTTCTGTATTCTACTGAACAAAATCAATGCACTGAACAAAACCAATGAAAAAGACAAGAGAAGAATCCTACTTCTACATTTATCCATTTAACTATTGCCTTAATAAATAAGTTTAAATATTGACATTGCTGACCCATAATGGTGCTTCATTTCCGAAAAGGATGGGGAACACGGGGAATCTCTAAAAGATACATTAAAGTTTCAGAGCTTGTGAGAAGTAGACAGGAATATACTTAAGATACCTACTGCAAGAACGCAGAACCAGATTTGTATAAGTGACGGCATAATAGCCAAATAATTTCCAATTCTGATCCTGTTGGTGTTCCTGAGCACAATTTCTAGCTTTCAGGCTTCTGTGAAATGCTTTAGAGGAATAACAAAAATTACATGATTTTGTCACAGCAGATGCATTGCCATCTTTATTAAAAATCTTCACAATTTGCCTAGCAGATATGACTTACAACTCACATCACAAACTTTTCTCAGAGGCACCAGCAGCACCTGGTGACCAAACACACTTTGTAAAAACCAGATATTTTTAATATTAAAAAAAAAATCAACCAAACAAAACAACCCAAAGACACCTGATACAACCACTTAACGATCAAAATATAAGCCCACAAACTAAACATCTGCCTACTTTCCCAAGGAGATTACAGAAGGAATAAATTCCAACTGCAGATCTTCCCCTCAAAGTTATCTTCAGCCCTATCAGAGCTTACTGAAACTAGGGATAGTATCTATCAACTTGTTCCTCTTCAGAGGAACCACGTAATTTGGTCATTTTTAGTCCCATAATCTGGAAACAATCCCTTTGGCAAAAACAAGACAGGATTCACTGGCAACTTACCCATAAGGCATACCCATCTGCTCTAACTGTTTTCCTGCTTGGTCTTTAGCAGTTATGGTCACGGCAAACACACACAAGAGGTTGCACTATTCTGATGCTATGTCCTCTCACTTCCCAGAATATGCAGGATTTGTAAACCTACTTATTACTTCTCAAAATATCACCACCCATCAACCCACAAAGGGACAGTAGTCACAAATACCTTCATATTTTCCTACCTGCAAAGCTGCATGAAGTTCTAGTTTAAAACACCCTTTCCTCACTTAAGAAAAGCACTAGGAAGAAAGCAACATACACACTTGGAGGGTTTATCCAATTATAAAAGTGAATTTTAACCTAGAAAAATACTACTCTTGTCTGGGGTAGGAAACCAGGGTTTGGTGTTTTTATCCAACCTGCTTAAGCTACAGTTTACTCCATGATTTCCATATTAAAATTTCCAGTATAAAAACTATTTTCTCTGATTTCGATAACCAATCTCAGACATGCAAGAATGGGTAAAATTCAAGTTTGTCCTCTATATTAGATCCTATCTTATCCTCCGATAGCTTATGTTTCAGGCCAGAGCATTTAGTTTCTCTTCCAAGAGGTCCTTACACAAACAATAACCCAGACAGTCATATAGGCATGGAATCACTTCTTGGAACGTATTAAATTTTGCACTTGGAAAAGACCAGCAGCAACAGTTTCTATAATGCCAAAGTACCTTATATTTAAAATCCAACTGCAAAGAGACTCACCTTCAACCTGACACACAGATGCCCAGCACCCTTTCGGAATCCATGAAAAGCTCGGTAAGACATAGGCAGATTACATTCTTTCTTTCTATACACATTGTTTTATACTTAGTAAAATCAAAACCATCATGCTCTGTCCAATCAGTCAGCCTGTTTTACTTTTCATTAAAAGTTTGGTCCTTACTTGTGTCACCTTTAAAAGTGTCACTACCTTACTAGTCAGCTGCTATCCTGATCATTAAAGAATATCCCAAATGCAGCTTCTGGACTCTTGAGCTTGCCTTTGCCAAGATTAAAACCTTTTTTGGTTTGTTTTGTTTCTTTTTCGCTTCTGCCTTTTACACAAACAAACCCTTCACTTTCGTCCTATGACTCCCTCAGCTTGTTGAAAAGCCTCTTGGATAAGAAATTGTCAAGGCATTATGAAAGCTCTAATTTATTCTTTTTTTTTTTTCTCCTTTGTCCACAACAATGACAAGTTCAAAGAGTTCTCAGATCAGCATGGTACAATTTTCCTCTGCCAAAACCATGCTAATTAGACTAACATCTCACGACCTTCCTAGTACTGTTCTATTTTCCTCCCTCCACAAACATAAGGCTGACAGGTTTGTGTTCATGCCACATTTTGCATAATAATTTCCTATATGGTAAGACTACATACAAGGCTGCTGCACAGAAAGGGCTACGTTAAGATAATGCAACTATAAGGCATGCCTAATGCTCACAGGTAATAATGGAATCAAATGACAGGGTGTTTTCTCATATAAAGCTCGACTGAGGAAACAAACAAACAAAAAAAAAACACAAAAAGAAATTCATAAAAAAAATCCAAGAAAGTG